AAGGGGTGATATCCAGAATCTACAAAGAACTAAAACAGATTTACAAGAAAAAAACCCATTCAAAAGTGGGAGAAGGATATTAACAGACACTTTATAAAAGAAGACATACAAGAGGCCAACAAACATATGAAAAAATGCTCTTCATCACTGGTCATTAGAGAAATGCAAATCTAAACTACCTTGAGATACCATCTCACGCCAGTTAGAATGGTGATCATTCAAAAATCTGGAGACAACAGATGCTGGAGAGGATGTGGAGAAATAGGAACACTTTTATACTATTGGTGGGAGTGTAAATTAGTTCAACCATTGTGGAAGACAGCGTGGCAATTCCTCAAGGACCTAGTAATAGAAATTCCATTTGACCCAGCAATCCCATTACTGGATATATATCCAAAGGATTACAAATCGTTCTACTATAAGGACACGTGCACATGAGTGTTCATTGCAGCACTGTTTACAATAGCAAAGACCTGGAACCAACCCAAATGCCCATCAATGATAGACTGGACAGGGAATATGTGGCACATATACACCATGAAATATTATGCAGCCATCAAAAACGATGAGTTCATTTCCTTTGTGGGGACATGGATGAACTCAGAAACCATCATTCTCAGCAAACTGACACAAGAGCGGAAAATCAAACACCACATGTTCTTACTCATAGGTCGGTGTTGAACAATGAGAACACATGGACACAGGGAGGGGAGCACTACATACTGGGGTCTGTTGGGCGGAAATACGGGAGGGACAGCGGGGGGTGGGGAGTTGGGGAGAGATAGCATGGGGAGAAATGCCAGATATAGGTGATGTGGAGGAAGGCAGCAAATTGCACTGCCACGTGTGTACCTATGCAACAGTCTTACATGTTCTTCACATGTACCTCAAAACCTAAAATGCAATTAAAAAAAATCTGTCTGGAAATGCGGCATCCACTTACCCTCTGCGCTTTTGCTGGGAACTGCAATCCTGAGCTGCTCTTAATGGCCATCTTGGATCAGTTGTCAGAACGTCTTTAACTTGACTGAAATCTTAAATTTTTCTGGAGGAAAAATAAACAAGTATATATAATTAAAAAAATAATAATTTCATAAAGGGAGAGGAAGGGTGCTTGCCCTACCCTATCAGATATTAGAATATTGCCATGGTTTGAATGTTTGTCCCCTCTAAAAGTTAATCATGAATGTGGCAGTGTTGAGAAGTAGGGACACACAAGAACAGAAAACCAACACTGCATGTTCTCACTCATAAGTGGGTGTTGAACAAAGAGAGCACATGGACACAGGGAGGGGAATGTCATACACTGGGGCCTGTCAGGGGGTGGGGAGCTAGGAGCTAGGGGAGGGATAGCATTAGGAGAAATACCTAATGTAAATGACGGGGTGAGGATGCAGCAAATCACTAGGGCACATGTATACCTATGAAATGAACCTGTGCTTTCTGCACATGTACCCCAGAACTTAAAGTATAATAATAATAATAAAAGAGGGGATTGGGTTAAGACAGCTTTGTTCTCATGAATGAATCTATTCATAGGTAGATTAATAAATCAGTGGGTTAATGGATTAATAAGTTATCGTAGCAAGGGGACTGGTGGCTTTATGAAAGGAAGTAAGACCCTTCCTTTGTAATACCTTCTGCTGCCTTGGGAATCTGCAGAGTCTCCCACAGCAAGAAGGCCCTCACCAAATGCAGCCCCTCCTGCTTTACTCCTCAGCCTCTATAACTGTAAGAAAGAAACTCCTTTTCTTTATAAATTTCAAAGTTGCAGGTATTCTGTTATAAGCAACAAAAAAATGAACTAAGACATGCATATTCTATAACCTCAATAAATAAAAGAGTATGATATTAATGTAAGAACTGACAATAAAAATCAATAGACACACATGACATGGACTAACGATCACTAATACTTGAGAACTCAGAATGTGGATGAACTTGGAGGACAGTGTTGAGCAAAATAACTTAGGCACATAAAGATAAACGCCCTGTATTCTCATTGACACATGGAAGCTAAAAAATATGATCTCATACTAGTAGAGAGTATAGTAGTGGTTACTAGAGGAAGGGAAGTATGTGGGGACGGACTATGTAGTAAGAGGTTGGTTAATACAAAAGTACAGCTAGACAGGAAGAATAGGTTAAGTGTTCTATCACACAACAGGCTGACTACAGTTAACTTATTGTATGTATTCAAATAGTCAGAAGATTATGAATGTTCCCAACACGAAGAAATGATAAATGTTTGAAGTGATGAATGTGATAATCACCCTGATATAATCATTACACATGGTAAACATGTATCAAAATCTCACACCTTACCCCATAAATATGTACAATGTTGTCAATTAAAAATAATAGAAAAGGAAAGTGATGCAATTCGATAGGCTGCTGGTGGACTGGCAAATTTAATTTCTTGAACTGGATAGTAGGTATCGACAAATATTTGTTGATCTATTGTTTGTAACCCTAAGTGTGTCCGAAGTATTTATTATTATTTTTCTACTCCTGGAAGAGATTATGAAATGTTTAAAAAAAAAAAAACAGTGGGTAAAGGGGGATATTTAAGAAATTGGAAAAATTTGTCCTTTGGAAGAAAAAACAAGTTGGAGTTTTCATTGCATAGAGATTTCCAGATATTACCAGGATTTCCAATATTCTTCCTCTCTGTGGACATACTATGTTAAATCTCCTGAAACTGATAAGCAACTTCAGCAAAGTCTCAGGATACAAACTCAGTGTCCAAAATTCACAAGCATTCCTATGCACCAATAACAGACTTAAAGAGAGCCAAATCAGGAACGGACTCTCATTCACAATTGCTACAAAGAGAATAAAATACCTAGGAATACAACTAACAAGGAACGTAAAGGACCTCTTCAAGGAGAACTATAAACCACTGCTCAACAAAATAAGAAAGGATACAAACAGATGGAGAAACATTCCATGTTCATGGTTAGGAAGAATCAATATTGTGAAAATGGGCATACTGCCAAAAGTAATTTACACATTCAATGCTATCCCCATCAAGCTACCAATGACCTTCTTCACAGAACTGGAAAAAACCACCTTAAACTTCATATGGAACCAAAAGAGAGCCCGCATAGCCAAGTCAATTCTAAGCAAAAAGAACAAAGCGGGAGGCATCACACTACCGGACTTCAAACTATACTACAAGTCTACAGTAATCAAAACAGAATGGTACTGGTACCAAAACAGATATATAGACCAATGGAACAGAACAGAGGCCTTGGAGGCAACACAACACATCTACAACCATCCGATCTTTGACACACCTGACAAAAACAAGCAATGGGGAAAGGATTCCCTGTTTAATAAATGGTGTTGGGAAAACTGGCTAGCCATGTGCAGAAAGCAGAAACTAGACCCCTTCCTGACACCTTACATTAAAATTAACTCCAGATGGATTAAAGACTTAAACATAAGACCTAACACCATCAAAACCCTAGAAGAAAATCTAGGCAAAACCATCCAGGACATAGGCATAGGCAAGGACTTCATGACCAAAACACCAAAAGCATTGGCAACAAAAGCCAAAACAGACAAATGGGACCTAATCAAACTCCACAGCTTCTGCACGGCAAAACAAACAATCATTAGAGTAAGTCGGCAACCAATAGAATGGGAAAAAATTTTTGCAATCTACCCATCTGACAAAGGGGTGATATCCCGAATCTACAAAGAACTAAAACAGATTTACAAGAAAATAACCCATGCAAAAGTGGGCTAAGGATATGAACAGACACTTTACAAAAGAAGACATACATGAGGCCAACAAACATATGAAACAATGCTCATGCATCACTGGTCATTAGAGAAATGCAAATCAAAACTACATTGAGATACCATCTCACGCCAGTTAGAATCACGATCATTCAAAAATCTGGAGACAGCAGATGCTGGTGGCATGTGGAGAAATAGGAACACTTTTACACTGTTGGTGGGAGTGTAAATTAGTTTAACTATTGTGGAAGACAGTGTGGCGATTCCTCAAGGACCTAGAAATAGAAATTCCATTTGACCTAGCAATCCCATTACTAGGTATATATCCAAAGGATTATAAATCGTTCTACTATAAGGACACATGCACATGAATGTTCATTGCAGCACAGTTTACAATAGCACAGACCTGGAACCAACCCAAATGCCCATCGATAATAGACTGGACAAGGATAATATGGTACATATATACCATGGAATATTATGCAGCCATAAAAAACGATGAGTTTGTGTCTTTTGCGGGGACATGGATGAACTCAGAAACCATCATTCTCAGCAAACTGACACAAGAACAGAAAATCAAACACCGCATGTTTTCACTCATAGGCCAGTGTTGAACAATGAGAACACATGGACACAGGGAGGGGAGCATCACACACTGGGGTCTGTCGTGGGGGAAATAGGGGAGGGACAGTGTGGAGTGGGCAGTTGGGGAGAGATAGCATGGGGAGAAATGCCAGATATAGGTGATGGGGAGGAAGGCAGCAAATCACACTGCCATGTGTGTACCTATGCAACAATTTTGCATGTTCTTCACATGTACCCCAAAACCTAAAATGCAATTTAAAAAAATAGAAAAAAAAAAAAAAGAAAAAACAAGTTAGAGTTTTCTTTGCATAGAGATTTCTAGATATTACCAGTATGTCCAATATTCTCCCTCCCTGTGGACATTCTATGTTTTGCAGGGCTACATGTCACTTTCTAATCAACAAGTTCTGATTAATTAATCAGGAGCCAGTGAATGATTCTCCATGCTCTTTCCTCTGTTGCAGACAACTGTGTCTAGGAAGATGGAGCTCCAAATTTTGCAGTGGGAACTCATTTGGTAAGACTCTCATCTGATAATGTGAGAGGCAGAATGTGTACCCAATGAATGTGTGTCTTTAGTGTGAGAATTCACAAAGCAGATATTAATGTGCGCTGGTCACTATGGGTTGTATTTGATAAGGAGTTACAAGAAAAACAGTTCTGAAAAGTATTATCTGTTTGCCAGCAAGAATGAAAGGAAATAGGTCAGATATTTGGGGTCTTTAATGAGTTGAAACAGTAATTGCTTTCAACGCTAAATAGTAAAAGACAAAATGTTAAAAGACTTTAACATTGAGCCAATTACAAAAACAACAACAAAAATAAAATATGATTTAGACTGCACTTTTACTTATTGAAAGGAATTAATTAGGTAAAATGCCTTAGGGTAAAGATCGAACTAAGGGCCTGAGGCCCGGTAACCTTTTCTATTGGAAAAATAGCTCAGGTAAAAGAGCTTAAGGGTTCCATTCTCACATCAAATCCAGATAGACTCAAGATATCTACCAGGTCTTCAAGCTGTGAAAGGTGTAGGCACAAGAGTGTAAAGAAATACAGATGATGTGGGAAGTGTATTAGGTAGAGTCATAGCTGTAATTATTGGCACATGGAATTAATTGGAATCCAATAGATTAGAAAAACCAACAAAGTTTTAAGAGAGTTGTATTGCTTAAGAAACTGTGAGCCTGGACTAAAAGTGTTTGAGAGTCTAAAACATGGGTGTCCAATCTTTTGGCTTCCCTGGGCCACATTGGAAGAAGAAAAATTGTCTTGGACCACACATAAAATACCTAATTCTAGCAATAGCTGATGAGCAAAACTAAAAACCAAAAACCAAACCAAAACCAAAAAAAAAAAAAATCTCATAATTTTTTAAGAAAGTATATAAATTTGTGTTGGGCTGCCTCAAAGCTGCCCTGGGCAGCATGCTAAAATACCTATCGGGCCCTGGATAGGAAGTAGGTTAAAAAAAACACTTCATATTCTGTAAGATCCATTTTATATGAGCCTAAGAAGGGAGAAAGGAAAGGAAAATTATCTCCCTGAGGGTGGAGGCAGAAGACACAGAGAAAAAGAACCAAGTTGGGTCCTCCAAGAGAGCAGAGTCCAGGCCTAACAAAGGTAGGGGGCTCAAAAAATGTCTGCCTGGAAGGAATTCAGAATTTTTCAGGAACAGGGATTCCTGTTTCCTTTTTCAATCATGAGACGTGTAAGCGCCAGATAACTTGTTATTTCAGTTGCTAGGTTTCCAAAGCTATGGGAGCTACCTATAGACTTGACATAGAGAGTACAGTATGCAGTAAACCCTTTGTTTCCAACCATTCAACCAACTGTGGATGGAAAATATTTTTTAACAATCCAATAAAAACAATATAATAATAAAAAATAAATAAAACAATATAGTATTAACTATTTACATAGTATTTACATTATATTAGGTGTTTCAAGTCATATAAAGATGATTTAAGTATATGGAAGGATATGTATAAGTTATGTGCAAATACGGCACCATTTTATATCAGTGATTTGAGCATCTCTGGATTTGATACCTATGCGGGTCCTGGAACCAAGCCCCCACGGATACAGAGACACAACTATATCACTCAGAGATTTTGGATTCTGGGCATTGAGCTCAATGCCACGACTGAGGAAGACCTTGGGGTTATCTCTCTTAGAGGAGAAGTTGGAGTTGGTATAACTGTCATACATATCTGTGCCAAAGGAAGACTGCACTGAATATTTGGAGAAACAAAATGGTAAATTGTGGCAGTTACTACCAGTCCTTAGCAGTGTTTCCAGTACTCCTTTTTCACTCCTCTATTCAGTAGGCTGGGGCTAGATGACTGGTCTCATAGTCAGACTGTGTCTATCAGGAGGCCACGCGTGATTTCCTGGCCCAAAGTACATGAGAACTGATGGACCCATTTCCCACATTCTCCTCCTCTTTCACAGTGAACCCAAAGCTTTGGGATGAGACAGGGATGCCATAAGATTGAAGTACTCTGAAAAACTGAGAGTAAAGGCTTATAACAGGTAAAAGCACAGCCCAAATTCTTAATTAGTTTTTTTTTGTTGTTGTTGTGAAGGGCATCTGTCCAAAAACTTTCAGGACACACATGGACTTTACATGAGCAAGAAAAAAAGTGTGTGTTTAGACACTGAGATGCTAGTGCTTTTGATAATATAGCCTGATCTCAATCTCTTGACCTCCAGCCTGGGTAACAAGAGTGAAACTCTGTCTCAAAAAAAAAAAAAAAATATATATATATATATATATTGCCTGATCTCATAGATACATTTATCTTAGACCATTCTGTGCTAAATACATACATTGACACAGACAAACATACATGCCTACATATCTAATGGATTAGTTAAAAGAAAGTACATTTCAACCTTTAAACCAAGAAAATATAAGTAAATATTTAACATCTCAAGTGAAGACTTTCTACATATAATCTAGTGAAAGACAACATAAGTGAAAAAGTGGACCTGACTACTTGCAAATAACACTTTTGCATATGAGAAACATCAACAACTAAATGAAAATTAATGACATGTGGGGAAAACATTTTTTTTTTTGCAATAGAGGGTTTATGACCTTATATATAAGAAGCTGTTAAAAATGAGTATCTTAAAATATCAGCATCACACATACACACAGAAAGACAAATAATTTAAACATAATTCTTCCAATTTATGAAAGCTGAAATACAGACAGATGCCTTCCAGAGTCATCAGAATTTGAACCAGTGATGGGGAGCACGTATGCATTCCTGTCCAATTAACAGTCATAGAAGATTGCCTGAACTGCCCCTGGGGTGTGCATATGCACCCTGAAAATATTTGACATACCAGAGCATACTTGGATGTGTATATACATATTTATGAGAAATGTGAAAATGGTTTTAGATTTTAATATGTTTCTATATGTCCAATTTTAAGCACTGACAATTTTTAAAAATATGGAAATATTATAAATATTTGTGTGAGGCAAGAGGAATATTGTTATGTCTTCTAGTTACAAACCATAGGATCCTAGAGATAAAAATGAACATTCCCTAAAGCTCCCATTTAAGAAGTTTTTGGTTGATGGCATGACCCTTGAAGGGACTGACCTCCTGAGAGAGTTACTCATAAATAATGGTTACTTTTTATGATATAAATATTTTTGAAGAACAGCTAAAGTCTTCATTAAAAAAGCATTATGCTCCTATGAGATTTCCCCATCCCCAAGATTAATATCACAGTTGTGGAGACCTAAGTACTTTTTTATCTTACAATTGTGCATGAAGAATTATTTTGTGCAGTGCCATAGGTTAAATGCATATCATGAAATTCACTTTCCTCCTGATTGCCGTTTCTGTCACTTAATTCAATGAAAGCCCACGAAAATACAGTATGACTCAGAATACTGGAGCTGTGGCTAAGCAAGAAAAGTTCATTCAAAATTGATTTTCTTTCAGGAATCCTTGATATTCTTCATTCCAATTGTTCACCTCTACTGTAGGGCTCAGTAAACACTTAAGGAAGTTGCCGTACACTGCAGCCTGCCGGAGACATGAAGGAATGTACAGGAGGATAATCACAACATCATCAACCCAATTCTCCAAGGTAGCTGGCCAATAATGCTGTTCTAATTGAATAACTTATCCACAGCTATTTCCCCTGGGGAAGCCGAAGGCTCAGCCTCGGCAAAGAGGCAGATGGTGCCGCATATACAATGAAACCTGTAATTTTCTCTCGCCATTGGCCATGTTAACAGTGGGCTGTTTCTGCTTATTCCTCGACATTTCATTTTAATAGTCCCTTCCCAAATTATAATGTACCATGAAGCAGCCAAAGATGGATTCAGTGATACATATCATATTTAATTTATCATACCTCTAGCTCACTGAACAACTCACTTGGTAGTCAGCAGCAGTTATATGTCAGGGACAGGTGCAAGCTGAGAAGAAAGCAACAGAAAGGGACCCAATTAGAGCCAAAAGGGGAGATGAGTCTTCAGGGTGGCATGGCATTCATGAGCAGCAAAGTGTGCAATATCAAACGCCTTCTAATTCTCATTTTTTTTAAAACAGTAATTTGCCATAGAACAGGCACACCCAATGTATTTGGGAAGACAATGGGAAGGCTCTGTTTTCTGCTATAAGACTGATTCAACCAGTCGGATCTGGAAGGGGATAAAGGGCTGTGTGGCTGCTTGATTTTCATTGTCTAGGTGGCAGGCAAAGTTGGAAAAGAGAAGTGCAGACTCTAAAGGCAAGCAGCGACAGCTCATCAGCGGTCTAACAACACGACAGATGACAGGCCCAGAGGCATACCCAGGGCCGCCAGCCCATCAGCCTGTGCAGGATGCCAGAGAGCAGCTGCAGCAATGGACGAAGATCACCCAGACTTGAAGGCTTGGGCCCTTGCTAAGACCATAGAGTCTTTGTGCTTTGGAAACAGCACTCCATACAGAGACCCCTTCCTAGAAAAGAGTGAAAAGAAACCAAGGTGGGATGGACACAAAGGAAGGAGACCATGCTAATATTCTTGTGCAATGCTTCCTGGGCAGAAACTATGTCATAAAGGATGTTCTATTCTGCAAAGCCATGTCTGTCTGTGGTTTGCCTCAGAGGAGGGACCTTTCATAGCTGTAGTGAGTAAGGGGACCCTTGCTGATGTTATCAGATATGCCAAAGCACAGAAAAAAAGCACTGGAGGTCACAGGGTGGCTCGGGTCTGCCTGTGGTAATTGAAAACAGGTGATGAGATTGGGGTGATTTTATTTTGGAAAAGTAAATTAGTGCTGCACCACTCTGACATGGCTAATTCATGAAGCCTCTGGTTTGTATTACACACCCAACATGCCTTTCAGAAAGAAATGACACAACAATTAATGTGTCAAATAATAATGTGCCACTCAGAGAAAGATAATTGTACCCAGCGTCAGGTAGTTATTAGGTCAGAACGAATGCTCATCCTTTCAAAGGCAACAGTGTCTATTCACTCTGGCATCCTACTGTAAGTACAGTACTGTGTTGATAATCACAGAGGCTGAAGCCATGAACACTGGGTTTTATCTGATTTTTCTCCATTTGGAATTATACTCTGATGATTCCCTAAACAGCAAACTCAGTCATGTGAAACACAAATGAGTGTGATGAAAGACAGATTGTTATACTGGAGGAGAGGCTGTCTCTGTCTGTGCTTTTCATATAATATAGAGCATGAGGACTGTTCCAAAGAAGGTTTGAGCATATGTAACAAAAACTATCAGACCTGAGTTTGCTCATGTGTAAATGATAGTCTTCCCTTCTGGTGATTTAATGCATGAGGACATCAATCAGTCACATCATGGCCTCAGAAGTCCTTGTTCAATTTCTGGTGCTGTAACTTACTCGATGTGGGATTTGAACAAGTCATTTAACCTCACTATGATTCTGTTTCCTCATTTGAAAAACAGAAATAGAAGAGCCTGCTGTATATTTAGTTCCACATCTGTTGGGAGGTCGAAGAAGAAAGGGCATGAAAAGATGTTTGTAAATATAAAGAACCCATGTAAATGTAAGACATTAGTTTATTAATGCTCCAGATTAATTCATGTTCGGTGAATGATAAAATGTGATGTCTTTTGAACAGAGACAGTTTTACTAAGAAAAATGCCTAAGAAAAATTAGGCAATGGCTTCTGTCCTTACAAATGGAGAACTTCATAATCAATGGAGGCTCTCAAAACCACCTGCCCAAGACTGAACTAAATACTCACTTCATTTAACCAAGAATGAGGAACTGAAATACATGATTATTATATATGGGTATCCTTCTGTTTCATCTACTGAGGCACACTTGTGATGAGATGTAAAAATTAGCCATCTTCAGAAGGAGAAACACTGTATTTGGGGGTATTTCTTCTGGACAGACAATTGGCCTTGTTATTGTCAAAAGCTATTTAAAATAAATAAAACACCATTTTATGCTATATAAAATATTCAAAGCAACGATGTTTCAAGGTATAGCTTCCATACCTTGTCCTCCCATGAAGATACATTCTCAACTGATATCTTTCATAAAAGAAAAATTTGCAGTGTGGTATTTGACCTTGCATAGCTTATGACTGACATTCAAAGAAATCTTGTTAGGAAAAAAAAAAAACGAATATATAACAAACAAATAAGAGTTGGTGACTTAGCCTGTTGAAAACAGACGCTTTGCTAATTTGGATTAAAGAATATAGGTATGACTGCTCTAATATCACATAAATGCTGCCAAAAAACTCTTGTATTCTGCAAAAGAATACCTAAAAACAAACAGAGCTGACAGGCAAATACAATTGGCTGTGTGAGCCCCACTTGAATTTTTTTATGATTCTATCTTGAAAGTGATATTCCATATTTCCATCTTTAGATACTTAATAGAAGTAAATCACTAAGTCCAATCCACCTCAAGGGGAGAGGGATTAAGAGAGAATTGGGGGGCTATCTTCTATCTTTGAAGCCACCTCTTAAAGGTAAAGGAGTGTTTAAGGAAGAGAAGACAACATAAATGGAGAGGCCCAAGAGTTGGTTCTTAGGATCATTTGATAATGGCAGCCACAGAGTGAGGCAGTGGCAATAAGAATGAACAATCCAGCATAAGCCTTGTCCTCTCTTCCTGGAGGACAGAGGGAGGTATTAGCAGTGGGCTTAGGTTTTAAGTGTGAATATAAGTAATTCAAAACCTAAGCTGTTGGAATTCTAAATTATTTTGAGCTTTAAAGGAATGTGATTATGAGGCCTGAGTTACATGGCAGGCAGCTGCAACCTAACAGCAGCTGTATACTATGCTCCTCTGATTATAGATTAGCTTTCTTCCTTACCTACGTTGTTTTTGTAAAATGCTGTAAATGACTAAAGGGCACCAGGGAAGACTCCTTCCCTCTTCACCGTTGATCTTCATTAGAGATTAACTTCCCTCTTACCTTTCTCACACAAAGACCTCATAGCTATCACACTATCTCAAGATGGAATGTTAAGTACACTTTCACTGTAGAAAGAACATGAAAGCAAACCCTATGGAAAAGAAAACAAACTAATTAAATTGTTGTAACTCATAAACCAGACTTGTGTATAAAATGTGATAACCTTACTAAACATCTTTGTTTTTTGCCTATATAAGCAAGAACTTAGCTTTCGTCTTTGGGGCACTGACCTCATGTATCTGGAGTCTGTGTCTCCTGGATGCCAGTCCCCAGGTTTTCACTCAAATAAACTATTTAAAACTGGATTCTGATCCTTTTGATTATTCCAGGTTGACAGAAGCAACTTGGGAGGAGTGGGGCAGGTCAGAGTCTCTTGAATTGTTTGGTAATTCCTGGCATAATTCTAAGGTATAAGCCAGCTGCTCTTTTGTCGAGTTAATCCCTATAAAATGATCATTTTATTAAATATATGTACCATTTTAAAATAGCAAATAGTGATATAAAGGATGATTTTCTTAGACCTGATCATCTCTTTCAGGCTTTGTGGTACTTCTGTTTGCTTTGAAAAACTATCTCAGAGAGTTAGCCACTGTTTTGAGGTCCCTACGTCAGGTCTTGCTCCCAATAATCATCCCCTATTCCCTGAGATTTTCACATTTCCTCCTACTGCTGAGGAGATCTTTATAATATTCTGGTTTCTTGTTTCAACTCCACTGATTTTTATTTCCTCCACAGTGCCTTTATACATGTTCATAGAACCATGGCCATATATATTGTCCATGAATGATGCTTGGGATAATTCCAATTCCAGCGCCCTACCCCAGACAATTAATTCAGAATCTCTGGTTATTCTAATGTGCAGCCAGGATTGAGAAACCCTAATCTCCAAAATCTCAATTTTAAGCATCCTATCCATTAGCCATTAATTTCTACTCATTCTCATTCAAACACCCACCCCCTATTTCAATTACTTTTTAACCTTATCATAACCTCTAATCCATTGACACTTTGACAATTCATCTCTCTTCTCTTGTCCTCACATTTTAGGTACTACACTATAGTTTGACACTACATAGCCACTTCTATTCAGGGTTCATAATATCCTGGTCATTCTATTTATTATGCTCACCTCACAAAATTTCAACTTTGGTTAAATTAACTACCCACTTAGTTCATGTTGGCATTCAAGCAGCAGAATATTGCCAAGGAAAATCACACAAGTAGGTAGAATGGTCTTATTTCAAATTATTATCAAAAGTGCATATGGACCCTTGACATTGCGAGATGTCTCTCTACTATAACTTCCCTGATTCTTCTAGATGATTATGACATACCACCTCTATAGTGTGTTGAATGGTGTCCTCCAAAATACGGCCAAGTCCTAACTCCCAGTACCTGCGAATTTGACCTTTTGGGAAAATAGGGTGTTCTTACAGGTATAGTTAAGGATCTCAGAATGAAATGATCCTAGATTTAGGGGGTGCACTATATACAATGACAGGTGACCTTATAGGAGATAGGAAAGAGGCCCAGGGAAGAATCCCATGTGAAGACGTTGCCACAAACCAAAGGATGCCATTGGCTACCAAAGACTGGGAGAGACAAGAGACGACTCTCCCCTCAGAGTCTTCAGAGAGGGCATGGTCCTATCACCACCTTGATTTTGGACTTCTGGCTTCTAGAACTGTCACAGAATAAATTTATATTGCTTTTTATATAGCCTCCCAACCTATGGTAATTTGCTATGGTGGGAAACACATACAACCTTTCATCTCGAAACTAATCCCTTCTCTTTCTCTCACTCCCCACCTTTGCCCCTACTCCCTGGATGAGTTGTTTTTGTTAATAAAATAGCTGCAATCACATGAAAACAATATCTTGTTCCCACCAACCCCATATACCCACCTGCATTTGCACACACCATCTGCCTTTTCTTGCCTTGGGGTTCCTCTTCTATCAAAGGACCCCTGTCCAATAATCTTTTTTATTCAGCTATTATTGGGTGCAAAAGTAATTACAGTTTTTGCCATTGAAAGTAATGGCAAAACTACAATTACTTTTGCACCAACCTAATATTCCCAGTTACCCCTCCTCTGTCCTGTACTGTCATCAGTTGTCTACAAAATCATTTCTGTTGGCTTAAAAACATGCCTTGAAGTGTATGTGTGTGTGCGTGTTTGTATACATACATGCTTTTGACCTTGACTTCATACCCCTTTCCAAATATTGTTTATTTTTCTGCCCCCCTGACAGTTACAGTCCTCAAAAGAACTGCTCATATTGACTGTTTCTACTTTCTTACTTCCCTTTTCTGTCCAATATACCTTGATCAAGTTTTTCTTTCTACCACTTCACTGAAAGACCTCCTATAATGATCTGTAATGTCTTGCATTTTGCTAAACCCAATGGCTAACTCTGTTTTCATTTTACTCAAACTTGCAGCAGTTGACAAAATTCACCGCTCCCTCCTGCCAATTCCTGCATCAGGCATTTGTCAATCTTAACTGTTATTATTGCCATGACAAGGTGAAATAGTTGGGGAATGACATTTTCGAGGGGCTGGTGATTCTGACTCTTGTCTTTGTGCTTTTTGGTGTGTCTATTTAAAGCTTGATAGAGGGCTTGGGATTGATTATTTTGTTTTGCTTTTATTACAGTCATGTTCATGGACCAAATGTTCTAGGAACCAAAGGACATTTACATATGGCCTGCAAAGTCACAGTCTAGAACCAAAATAATTTAAGCAAAAATGGAATCTCTATTAGCAGGGGTTCACTGATAAGACATACACATAAATTAAGATTGCTAAATACTGTAAATAAGCAAATTTTCTAAACTTTTCACATCTGTTATGCTTGTTTTTCTGTTTGAGTGGCAGATAAAGAATGTAGAGGGATTCCATGCCAGTTCTCACAGTAAGATCTTAAGCTGGGAACACATAGCTTAGTATCCAAAGTAGGGCTGCCCTACGGATGATTTTATGATGCCAGATGTGAGAGGAGACAATCTTGTTTAACACGAATGTTTCCAAGTATTGTCCTGAATATGTCAAATGAAGACTGGTGGGAATCCAGATTAGTACTCAGAGGGAGCAGGAGTAGAAGGGCTGCATGAAGGTGATTTGTGTCTTTGCTCATGAATATGCATGCTCCCCAGGGAGAGTGGGAAAAGGCTAAAGCAAACAATGAAGAAAGAAAAAGAGAGAGCGAGAGAGAGAACACAACAGCCACTGGCCACCAACAGACAAAGAAATTGGTGTTTACATATCCCTGTTCTTTTTCCTTCCTGGAGGGATAATGTTCACTATATTTTCCCCATGGGACTAACGGGATTCTCCAAGTGACCACTGTGGAGGCTGACTTAATATGCTCTTCCCTACTCGCCTACTCTGCAAACAACGTCCTTTCTAAAGTTCTTGTTTTTCCCAAATAACTTCATGCATGCAAAGTATTGTTTCAGGGTCTATTATGGAGGCATGAATTCTAAGACACGTAAATAGTTAGATGTCCTGGTACCAGAAGAGGGTTAAACATGCTATGGGTCAAAATTCAAATGTTAAAATTCTACCTAGCAATACTTCAGAATGTGACCTTATTTGGAAATGAGGTTGTTTGCAGATGTAATTAGTTAAGATTAAAGTGGACCAATAATTCAGTAGAACTGGAGTCCTTATAAAAAGGAGAGTATTTGGACACAGAGATAGACATACACACTGGAAGAATTCCATGTGAACACAAAGGCAGAGATCAGAGCGGCTATGTGCTGCATTGTATATCCCTAAAATCTTTACATTGAAGCCTTAACCTTTGAGGTGACTGTATTTGGAGACAGGTCCTATATGGAAGTAATGAAGGTTGAGTTCATAAGGGTGGGGCCCTAATCCCTAATTACATCTGCAAACAAGGCCATTTCTAAATAAGGTCACATTCTGAAGTAGTGCAAGGTACATTTGAATTTTGACCAATAGCATGTATATACCCTCTCCTGGGTCCAGGACATCCAACGGTTTAGGTTATGTCTCAGTATTCACA